GCTCTGGATGTTTCTACTCCAGACTCAGTCCACTGCTTCCGCAGGTCCCCCAAGGTCTGGAATCGGCCCTTCTCCACAATCCTCCTCAGGGTCCGGTCACCTCTTCTCGTTGTGCAGCGTTTTCTGCCACACTTTTCCCTTCCCACAGACTTCCCACTGAGGTGCCTTGATACAGCACTCTGGGAACAGCCTATTCGTTCAACAGTTTCTTTCTGTGTCTTACCGTCTTGCTTGAGGGTGTCAATGATGGCCTTCTGGACAGCAGTCAGGTCGGCAGTCTTACCCATGATTGCGGTTTTGAGTAATGAACAAGGCTGGGAGGTTTTTTTTTTCTATTGGACCTTATTGGGTCAGTACAAGTCGGACCGCTTCATTTTTCGTTTCCACAGTGCCCCTTTATGCTTTCAGTACAGGTTCCAGTGGGGGAGGTGTTCAAATTCACGTCACGTGCCTCTCACCAGCTGTTGGTAGTGAGAAGCTGAAATGTTGGTTACATACTGTAACCCCAGATTCTATGAGTATAGGTGCAGCCCTTTAAGGCTGTCGCTATTGTGTGTATCCCTTCGCGCGCAGCACAGCACTGAAAACTTTAGTCCACGCCCACCTGCTGTGTAGGCCTCATCCCCTGTCCATATAAATTACGGTGAGGCGGGTAATCGGCTCCCAAATAGCTTTTTCTTCAGCCATTTAGGAACCAGTAAGGCCCAGAGTTTAAAGGGCTACGCCTATACTCATAGAATCTGGGGTTACAGTACGTAACCAACGTTCTATTTCGTATAGGCTTCGCCCTTTAAGGCTATCGCTAGTGGGTTAAAGGTGAAGTAGGATGTAATCTATGCCTCACTGTGTCCATTCAGACACAACATGAAGCACCGAGGTAGCTGAGCATCCGCTCGGCCGCTCGTCTTCCGTCACTACGCTCTCCAGGAGGGAGGTGGCAGCTCCACATCGCCTTTCTCGGAAGAATCATTCGATTCACTGCGTGACTGCATCAAAGAAGGCGGTGGCCTTGTCCCACGCATAGCGTCCTGCCACAGAAAAAACACTGAGCGGAGCTGCTGCCAACAACGCCTTTTTCAAGGGAATCATCCGATTCACCGCAAGGAAAAATCGTTAGAAACGACGATGGCATCATCCAGCGGGTAGCGGCCCGCCACGGAAAAGCACTCCTCGGTGCTTACCTTGAACAAGGCTGCCCGTCTCTGCTTCTCCTCGGGGAGGAAGTGCTCACCGGGACGGCAGGAGGTTGGCGTGGCGGAGACCCAGGCATCCTTAGCAAAGGTCGTGCCGGTCAAAGCTGGACAACTTTTCCTCCTTCGTTATTCTGACAGTGCTAGCTAGCTGGCTGAAGAAAAAATGGGAGCCGATTACCCAGTCTCACTGTAATTTATACGGACCGGGGGTGAGGCCCACTCAGTAGGTGGGTGTGGAATAAAGTTTTCAGTGCTGCGGTGCGCTCGAAGGGATAAACCCACTAGCCTTAAAGGGCGAAGCCTATACAAAATAGAACAGGTTTCAGTACAGGATAATTTATTTTGAAATTTCTGATAAATTAAAAAGAGTACAGATTATTAAAATGATCAAATTAAACATTTCAATCATTTTAATAATCTGTACTATTTAATTTATATTAAAAAATAATCATAATAACATATAATATAATATGTAATTTTTACTTTCTGTGAGCTTTAAACAAATCCAACAAGCTGTTCATATGTTGCCAACAGACATTCAATCCAAGTTTACATATACAGTTGTCCCTCGCTACTTCACAGTTTGTTCATCGTAGAGTCGCTCTATCGAGGTTTTTCAAAATAAGATTGGACATGAAACACAACTGGCTGATTAATGGATGAACCGCATGATCGACATGGAATTTTTATTTAAAATAAATTATTTTAAATTATTTACCACCTGCTGCACATTTGTGCAGCCCAGAGCTACAGAAAAAGCTTTTTCCTGCACTTTTGTGTAGCACATATTGCAGGATAAAATTCCTGCTGCAGCTGATCAGCTGATCACCATGCAGAGCAGAGAAGTGGGTGTAGCCAAGAGCGCTTGCAGGTGGCAAAAAGCAGAGGAGGCAGAGAGCTGAAATCATGACATTCTGTGCTCTTTTAGAGCGTTCAGAGTTCAGAAATATCCATCCATCCATTATCTTTATCTGCTTCTTCCATTTTGGGTCACGGGGATTGCCAGTGCCCATGTCCAGCAATCACTGTGCAAGGGGTGGGGGACACCCTGGACAGGTCTCAAGTCCATCACAGGGCCACATAGAGACAAACGAGACAAACAACCATTCACTCTCTCACTCACACCAAGGGACAATTTAGAGTTATCAATCAGCCTAACATGCATGTTTTTGGTCTGTGGGAGGAAATCGGAGTACCCAAAGAAAACTCACGTATGCACGGAGAGAACATGCAAACTCCACCCAGAAAGGCCTCCAGACAGGGATTTGAACCAGGGACCTGTTCGCTGAGAGGCAGCAGCTCTACCAGTTGCGCCACCGTGCTGCCCTGGTTTAGAAACATTGTTTAGAATATTGCAAGTGTGTGGAAAGGGTTATATTTTTTATTATATATATATATATATATATATATATATATATATATATATATATATATATATATATATATATATACAGTGCCTTGCGAAATTATTTGGCCCCCTTGAACTTTTCAACCTTTTGTCACATTTCAGGCTTCAAACATAAAGATATAAAATTTTAATTTTTTGTGAAAAATCAACAAGTGGGACATAATCATGAAGTGGAATGAAATTTATTGGATGTATCAAACTTTTTAACAAATAAAAAACTGAAAAGTGGGGCGTGCATTATTATTGGGCCCCTTTACTTTCAGAGCAGCAAACTCAGTCCAGAAGTTCAGTGAGGATCTATGAATGATCCAATGTTGTCCCAAATGACTGATGATGATCAATAGAATCCACCTGTGTGTAATCAAGTCTCTGTATAAATGCACCTGCTCTGTGATAGTCTCAGGGTTCTGTTCAAAGTGCAGAGAGCATCATGAAGACCAAGGAACACACCAGGCAGGTCCGAGATACTGTTGTGGAGAAGTTTAAAGCCGGATTTGGATACAAAAAGATTTCCCAAGCTTTAAACATCCCAAGGAGCTCTTTGCAAGCAATCCTATTGAAATGGAAGGAGTATGAGACCACTGCAAATCTACCAAGACCCGGCCGTCCCTCTAAACTTTCATCTGGAACAAGGAGAAGACTGAGCAGAGATGCAGCCAAGAGGCCCATGATCACTCTGGATGAACTGCAGAGATCTACAGCTGAGGTGGGAGAGTCTGTCCATAGGACAACAATCAGTCGTACACTGCACAAATCTGGCCTTTATGGAAGAGTGGCAAGAAGAAAGCCATTTCTCAAAGATATCCATAAAAAGTGTTGTTTAAAGTTTGTCACCTGGGAGACACCAAACATGTGGAAGAAGGTGCTCTGGTCACATGAAACCAAAATCCAACTGTTTGGACACAATGCAAAACGATATGTTTGGAGTAAAAGCAACACAGCTCATCACCCTGAACACACCATCCCCACTGTCAAACATGGTGGTGGCAGCATCATGGTTTGGGCCTGCTTTTCATCAGCAGGGACAGGGAAGATGGTCAGAATTGATGGGAAGATGGATGGAGCCAAATACAGGACCATTCTGGAAGAAAACCAGTTTGAGTCTGCAAGAGACCTGAGACTGGGACGGAGATTTATCTTCCAACAAGAAAATGATCCAAAACATAAAGACACATCTACAATGGAATGGTTCACAAATAAACGTATCCAGGTGTTGGAATGGCCAAGTCCAAGTCCAGACCTGAATCCAATCCAGAATCTGTGGAAAGAGCTGAAGACTGCTGTTCACAAACGCTCTCCATCCAACCTCACTGAGCTCCAGCTGTTCTGCAGGAAGAATGGGCAGAACTTCAGTGTCTCCATGTTCAAAACTGATGGAGACAAACCCCAAGAGACTTGCAGCTGGAACTGCAGCTGGAACTGCAGCAAGAGGCGGAGCTACAAAGTGTTAACGCAAGGGGGCCCAATAATACTGCACGCCCCACTTTTCAGTTTTTTATTTGTTAAAAAAGTTTGACACGTCCAATAAATTTCATTCCACTTCACGATTGTGTCCCACTTGTTGTTGATTCTTCACAAAAAATTAAAATTTTATATCTTTATGTTTGAAGCCTGAAATGTGGCAAAAGGTTGAAAAGTTCAAGGGGGCTGAATACTTTCGCAAGGCACTGTAAGTAGGTTGTTTGAGTCCTAAGAGCTTACTTCTCCTCTTCTTCACTTTTCTTCACTTCTCATCTCTCCTCTTCATCTGAGGGTCTTCCTCAGACTGCAACTTTCAACCACACCTCTAACTTGAAAGGGTGGTCGATTTGAACCAATCAGAATGAAAGGGCCGGACTTTTATCAACTAAATAAAGTATTATTTTAATCTGCTCTGTTGAAAATGTCATCAAAGAAAAAAATGTGACACTTCTGCCAACTGTGAGATTATAAACCAATAAAACACGTTGTTAACCTTGTAAACAGAAAACAAGTTTGCAAACTTTTGGCTACATGTATTCCGGTCAGCTGTAAGAGAAACAAGCCAAGTTACTAGTTGTTCCCAGCAAACAATTCTTTCATTACAGGAAAACATTACTTTCCAGAATGTGAATAAAAGTCTGTCAGTTTTCTGCATGCAGAATAGAGGGACTTAGGTGTCGGACTGCAAAGGAATTCTTTCAACAGGGACAAGGCTTTTCTGTTATCAGCCTGATTTACAGTCGTTTGTTGGATGTTGGTACAAGGTGATACCAGAATTTCCTGTGTGATATGTACTAACTCAAAACATCCGTTTTGGGTTCACAGAAAGGGCTTTCAGATATTATCAGATGGATCAGGTAATTTGGCTGTCTTTGCAAACCATAAGTCTCTTTTGGACATTTTCCAGACTTAGGGATGCTGAGAAAAGGTTTAAACTGTCCCAGGTCTGAAACGGGGGTGGGGGGGTGTAATGTCTCAGTTGTTGTTCTTTAAGAGAGAGGAATTTCCTTTTTTTATTTAAGGGACATCTTTACAGAATGAACTTTGTTCCAATTATCAGAAAAATAATTGAATGTTATAACAATTTCAAAGTCAGGCATGCATGTATATCTCTACACCCGACACATTTCCTTCCTCGTGTTCTTCGACTAACAGTGGCACAATTTCCACCGGCACCCTGTTTGTCAACAGCACCGGTGGTTGCCATTGTTAACCGGGTCTCGACCAGTCCGATATGGTTTCGCATTGATGAACTAGCATTATAGTTTAGGGAAAATTGTTTTACGTCTTATGCTCTTCCTGACACAACCCTCACCTTTTACCTGGGCGAGATACACTGGCTTGTGGTCCCTAGTGGCTGGTTTGTGTCAAACCTTAGTACCTGTTATTTATTGAGTTATTTATTTTTGTCTTTACATCTGAACACTTCTTGACAAACTGGTTTAAAAGTAAATAAATATAAAAACAATTTTTACTTTACTTTGGTTGTACCGCTAATGAAAGTAATTTTTAAATATCATGGTTTTGATGGCCAGATCCAACACTTGACAAGACTAATGTACTATAACAGCTTTATTAATAATGGAATAACTTCAGATGCTAATTTTTATGTTCCACACAGGAGGCCAGGAATATCTTCCTGAAGTGGCTCCAGACATGTGCAGATTGTGATAACGTCCTTAGATTCTCCAAGGCCTCTTTCAAAATGGTGTCCTCTTCTGAACTCTGTGATGACGCCCTTCCTGGGGGCTGCCTGGCCTTGATCACAGAGTGCCAGGAATTTGACCACTTCGATATGGAGATTTATTCCAAAAATCTGCAGACCAGCCATCTTGGGCACACCCTGCTGTATGCTGAGATTGTCACTTCTACAATGGACCTCTTAGAAGGGTAACCAATTATTTTCTATTCTCTAACTATTTTCTAAACATTTTTCATTTTTGATTACTGCTTTCCCCCCAAAAAAATATATTGGTATTTGTAACCAAACACAAGTGTAGTTAGACTTGTTTGGATTGATCTTACAGAAGACATGTAAAACCACAGTTTACTGACTTACCAAGCAGACTGTTGACTTCAGTCATTCATTCAATCAGATGTAAGAGACAGACACATGTCCAAATGTCAGGTGAATGCAAATGTAAAGAAGACAAGTAAGCTTTATTGCAGAATGCATGTTGCTTATTCTATATCTCTTAAACAGTGTTTAGACTTACACATTGTGCAGATTTCCTTCAGTAAATGTTAAAGTAAGGTTAGCTGCTGAGCTCAGGTTCAAAACAAATTGTAGAACAAGTTTGTAGGCTGAGTTAGAATGTCGAAGGTTTGGAAATATGAGCTCATCAAACACCTAAACATTCAACACCAAGGTCATTTTGCAAAGGTTATATAAGTTCCAACTAGGGGTGGGCGATATGGCTCAAATATAATATTGTGATATTTCAGAACATTCTGACGATAACGATAAATGTCGTGATATAACAAAAAAAAAACAGAAATCATAGTTCTTCATTTGACAAAATGAACTTGTTGCTTGCATTATTATATATGTAAAAAAAACAAGGGTTAATTTTACTTACTGCAATTACTTTATTTAGATTATGTAGATATTATTTTACCTTATGACGTGAACGGACAGCTGACGTGGCAGCAACAACTGAAGCGTGAAGCATGTTGAAGTGTGTTGGTAGCTGAACAAAGGGAACAATATTTATGCCCTCTGTTAATAATAATTGGTGAATATCTGAAAAATATTCAGGCACATTGAAAAGTGTTCGAGATGGGACCAAAAAAGAATCAGGCAATGGAGGATTTGGACGATATTAAAAAGGCGCTGGACTTCCTGTCAGAGGAGGTCTCTGCTGTCAGGCTTCAGCAGAAAATGATCTTGGACTTAGTTGATGGGGTTAAATCACTTAAACTTCATAATGCTGAAAAAGACAAACGCATAACATTCTTGGAGAACCGTGTCGGAACTGGAGCAGTACACGCAAAAGAACAACGTAATCATCACCGGCCTGCGTGTTAAACCTCGCACGTATGCACGGGCGGTTACAGCGGAGGTAGCGGGACTGCAGATGAGAAATTGTCGGATTCCGTTGAGCAACAGGTGACTTCTTTTCTCCTGTCCAAGGGAATAGAAGTTGAAAAGAACATCGTCGAAGCCTGTCATCTGCTGCCCAGGAGGAGCAGCAATGACAAACCAGCCATCATTATGAGGTTTGTCAGCATTAAACATCAAGCAGAGTTGCTAAAACAAGGGAAGAAGCTGAGAGGACCGGACGTTTACATTAACGAACATCTGTCTAAAAGAAACGCGAACATCGCCAAGAAAGACCGGTTCCTGAAGAAGCAAGGGAAGATCCAGGCTACATGGACTTCAAGTTGAAAAAAAAAAACCGCACAGTTTTGATAACTTTTCATCCCCCGTGCCTTTTGAACAAAATGGCCAAGTTTGAAAGCAGTTGAGTGAAATCCCTAGGAGGAGTTTGTTCAAATGCGGAGGCTGTAAACCGCCAAAAAGGTGTGAAATTTGGGACGGCATTCCAAAATGGCCGCCTTCCTCTTTATCGTACAACGTTGGTGGCAGAGGGTTTTCTGTGCATCTTGGGGAGTTGGACAAGTGTACCAAATTTCATGATTTTACGACAAACTAAGGTTAATGCGGAGGGTATTCAGAAAATTTCCAGGTGACGCTCTTGATCTGTTTCTGTTGCGATTTTTGCGATGCCCTCAAAATACAGAATTTTTCACCAGTCCTGATGCATCTGCCAAATTTGGTGAGTTTTGGGATATGTTAAGGCCCCCAAAAGGCCAATTCATTTGACAGAAAAATTGCTCGGGCATAATGAACTGAGTGATTACAATAGACCTTCGCAGCGCTTCGCTGCTCGGGCCTAATTAAATCAAAGGAGGAAAAGGTTACAGTTTAGAGCGCTGGCCTCTCCGTTCTATGACGCAATCATAAAACCGGAAGGGCCTATGTCCCGTGTCATTATTCATTTATAGGGTCCTAGACTCCTCCTCTACAGAAGTTGGAGCGCAACCTGTCACGTGTATGAGGGGGCGTGACTAAGTGTGATCTCAATGGATCTTATGTGGTTATGACGTGAAAGGAAATATGACACGGTGTTTCAAAAGCTTTTCTGCATGATGTAGCAAGCAAAGATAAACTCTATTCCTTAACAAGTATTGAATCCCTGGGAGACTCTTTTTAGAGTTGCTGGCCCAGTTTAACCCAGTCAGAACCAGGTCATGATTTCATTATATTCCCTTCTCTGAGCAGATCAAAACCCCCAGGACCAGTCTAGATAAATATCTTAACACCAGTCAGCATCAGGTGAAAAGGAGGAACCCAGACCCAGACCAGTGGTCATTCCATATGTTGAGGGGGTATCAGAGAAACTGAGACGTTTATTTTCTAAACATAACGTCCCAGTGGCTTTTAAACCCCAAAATACATTAAAGACTGGTTCATCCCAAAGATCCAGTCCCCCGGCACAAACAGAGTAATGTTGTGTATGTTGTTCAGTGTCAGGAGGGTGATCAGTCTTACATCGGGGAAAACTAAACAGCCACTGGCCAAAAGGATGGACCAGCACAGAAGATCAACATCATCAGGCCAGGACTCTGCGGTCTACACTCATCTCCAGGCCAGCGGTCACTCTTTCAGGGATGAAGATGTTCACATCCTGGACAGAGAGGAACGATGGTTTGAGAGAGGAGTAAAGGAGGCCATCTTTGTGAAAAGAAATCGTCCATCATTAAACAGGGGCGGAGCCTCCGGGTTCAACTGTCCCCCTCTTACAATGCTGTGATTGCTAGT